AATATGAATCAAAACAATAAAAGCTATGATCAAAGTAATGTCGAATGATTAATAATCATCACCTTAGAAGAGCTCGATGAAGAACTTATACTATAAAGGCAAGTTAGGGAATCACAAAATTATTAACCCTGATACAATACATGCATGCAATATTTAAATCCTAACGCTAGCAACATCAAGACGGATGGACAAGCCCAAACCATAAAAAGGCTAACTACATACATAATAAATTTGACAAAATCTAATAAATAACCCAACATTTAAAAAAAAATCTAATACAAATAAGGGTCCCCGCCTAGGCTGACATTAATCACCGCTTAAATCGATTAGACACTTAACCCTAGTCGACCACTTGACTCCTGTCTTGCAACTCTTACAACCTTGGTTCGGATTATGCATATGTTATTCTTTCTTGTACCATCTATGTTTTTTTTTCTCGACCGTTTATTGTCTTATTCTTTTCGTTTCGACTATCTATGTGTTATTTTTTTTTTCGTTCTGACTATTCATATGTTATTTTATTCGTTCGACTATCATTATGTTATTTCTTCGTTCAGATTATCATTGTGTCATTTTTTTTTGTTTAAACTATCCACGTTCTATTTTTCCGTATGGACTATCATTGTGTCATTTTTTGTTCCAACTATCATTGTGTTATACGATTTTTACACCCACTAAATAAAAGCCACACATATAATTGTTCGTAAAAACATTTAAAACAAAAACATATATATATATATATATATATATATATATATATATATATATATATATATATATATATATGGAAAAGTGAATATACCCTTAAGGGTATATAAGCTTAGGTACCCAAACTCACAATAATACGTCGTTTTGTATCATATATATACATTGTAATTGTCCAATGTTCTTATAATTCAACTTCTAACATGATTTACTTCCAAGATTTTTATAAATTTCATATTTATCTTTCTCTTACATGATTTTCATTTTTAACTATAATATATATAGTCTAGTAGGTGTTCCGCAAAAGGATGTGATGTAAAATGAAGATATATCGTGAAATTTCGAAAAATCTTGAAAGTAAATCAAGTTATTGTTGAAGTTTAAGAACATTATAACAAATATATCAAACAAAACGGTGTATTATAGTGAGTTTGGGTACCTAAGGTTATATACCCTTAAGGGTATATTCACTTTTCTCATATATATATATATATATATATATATATATATATATATATATATATATATATATATATATATATATATATATATATATATATAAATGTATAAATATATAAAAATAATTTCTAAAACACAATACACATATGTAATTGTTCATGAAAAAAAAAAGTTCGGACTACCTTATGTTGTTCGTGAAACAATTTAAGACAAGGATAATAACTTTTAGAATTTAAAATAAAAGATCAAAGAAAAAAAATCAAAATAGCCTATATTGCGTCGATTTTATAATTGTATATATATATATATATATATATATATATATATATATATATATATATATATATATATATATATATATATATATATATATATATAAACAAATCCCACACATAAAACACACATATAGTCGTTCTTACTTTGAAAAAAAAAATGAATATACTAATAATAATAATAATAATTTAACAATAGACAAAATATAATACTTGTTTAATTTCTAGATGGGTCAATTTAAGACTTAATATGATGAAATATTGAGTTTTTTTGAGAAAAACTCTATGCCACGAAATGGTGCATGGATAACCCTGACGTGACATGACTTTTATGATTCACGTATTTCTGGTGTATACCTTGACGTGGCAAGCGAGTTGCCAAGACGTGGTGGCTGCGGTAGCACAAGCCTGTGATTTTTAGGGTTTCTTTCATATTTAAGAGCCTTAACTTTAGGATTAATATGACATCCCCAATTTTTCAGAACCAATTTAAAACATTTTCTTGATGCTTTGTAAATTGAGATGCGGAAATTCCTGGTTAAACAAAACTTTTTTGAGATAACAAAAGTTATTTCATTCTATTAAAACTTCGAAGATGTCACCGTTCATATCCAATAATACACTACAATGTAAATATAATAGGTCATGAAACTACTTATTACAGGTACATCTCTTTATTCCACTCAACATCCTAACTAGACTTCGACAACATTACATTCGCTACATATGATGCATAAAATGAGTGAGTCAGGTTTGGGAAAACCTGGTGAGATGCATATGGTTTTCAAGCCTACAATAATTTAATGATAATAAATGATATCATTTCCTGCAAACAATGTTATCAGATAATATATATACAATCTGACCTAACACCAACTACCCAACCTAACCGATCCTTATAGATCCTAAATCACGATTATTTGGAGGAATCACCCAACTTGATGAATCGTTTGAGCTAGTGTTAGATTACACCTCTAGGGGTGTCCTTGGCTAGTGTAAGTCATATAAAGGCAACCAATGTTCAGAGATTTGATAAATATGATATCACATTTTATCGACGTCCATAGATTATAATTCTATGCTAGCAACATAATTCGCTAGACCGCCTAGAATAATCAAGTGTTGTCATCTACTCTCATCAATGAACCATACATAATTGCCCATTGTCTGATATGAACCCACCATTTCTGGTCATCCAAGAAAAATGAGGAATACAACACTCTGCTATCTGATCTCACACTCTTCCTAGAATGAGACTTATCTAATGTCCAGCTTATTGGGAACTAACCCCTCTTTCAACTCTTATTATAACCATTCCAAACTTATGCTAAAGGCAATCTATATCTAATACAATTTCTAACCTAATGGTACTATCATATTCATACAATTAGCGCATAACACAGATAATACATGTATGAATTTAATATCGATTATAAGTACTAATACTTTTAAATTAAGATTATCTTCTTGATAGTAACTACACACTCACTTGAAAAAGTTTCTGGTGATTGGTGAATCGGACAAAGCTTCGTCTCACTCCTTTTCCAAAAGACCTATATATAAATAACACTAAGTCTTAGTCTAATTTCATATTTTATGGAACTATTATCCTAAGGGTTTAGGTTCCTTAATAATCCCAACGAATATTGAGAGTTCTATCAAATAAAGATCAACTAGGCAAGAAAGTTGGGAGGCAAGACCATTTCGGTGTATAGCCTTTTTGAAATCCAACAACCAAGCCAACATGACCATTCTAGACACTTCTCCTGTAAGTAGATCAATTAGTATAACGATTTTGAATTATTGATAAATCTTATTTATAGGTTATAATAACAACTTATGACTATAAATATAAGTTACACTAAAAAGACTAGAGTGTAGCTTAACTTACAGAGGTTCTTCCTGACAAAAGTTAGAAGATTCCACTAATTCAGGGATCGCCAGGCTTTACCGAAGACTAAAAAAAAAAAGGGAAAAAGGCTCAAATGCTCGAGAGAGAAGGCTTGTGAGGGCATGAAGATTGAAGCATATACAAAGACTAGTATTTATAGCAAAAAAAAAAAAAGATATGCATGTTGCGCATATAGGGGAGCACATTGCACACTCTGACCTCGTTGGTTCCACAGGTCGCTTGTTACGTGTCGCTTTGTCGTTCATCCATGTCATCACTTCTAGAATGTCACCACATGTCACATTTTTATGGTGCTACATGTCATCTCCACAACATGCCACATCGTCTTGGATCTTGAAGGAGTGGGCAGCCAGCTTGACACGTGACACACTCCGGTGATGCCACTTCATCAACACATGTATTTTCCTGAAATCTTCGAATGACCATAACTTTCGTATATGAGCTCCATTTTCAACGTTATTTATATCTACGAAATACTCTCGACGAGTTCTACAACTTTCATTAAGGTCTCAATGTCTAATTCTTGATCTAACAAAAATTCATATTTTGATCAGTTTAGACAGTTAAAGTCCGTGCGAAATTCATAAGTTCTTCATACGAACTTTGTTCTTGACTGTCTATTATTAATCAGTTCCTTTAATCCCAAATTAATATCAAATTAATTTCTGATTAGTTACTAATTAATAATATGATTTCGAAATAATATATTAATCTTGTAATATATTAATAAAATCATTTTGAGTACCAGTTTATTATTCATATAATAAATCCTACTCTCTCTACTTGTCATCTTGTTAAGTTGCATGAGTAAATGCAACCCAAAATCACCATGATGCATATCAAATCAAGTACATACCAAATGTAGTTATTGACATAGACACCTAATCCAATAATATGGAGTAAGACAAACAGTTGAATGAACATATTATATACCCAAAATCATGTGATGCAAGATCATAAACCCCAAGTACATCTAAGTAACTGAACTAGGATTTTAGGGAAGAAAGTGTGTGAATCTAAATTGTCCGACAACTGAACCGGGAGTACCTTAGTTTTCTCATTTAAAGTTTTGTTTTAATTAATAAAGTTTCAAGTATTTATGGTTAATCTTTGTTTAAACATGTTCTTCACAATTACAAGTAATCTATTTTCCAATGACTATTTTGACACATAGTTTGACCATGAACTCCTTGTAGATTCAACCCGACTTGTACTATCTACGTACGTTAGTTGGTTTATTTTTATTGAGACAACGACCTTGATCAAAATTTGGTGTCGTTGCCGGGGAGATTGTGCGCTTAAACTATTGTGTTGAAGTAGTCATTACATTTTCTTATTTTTTTATTTTTTGTTTTGTCTTATTTTTAGATCAAAATTTTCACTCTTTTATGTTTTATTTGTAAGGATAGTCGTGAATGGAGGAATACACTTACATGAAGCAATATATGTGGTTGGGGAACGAAAATTCGGGCCAATATCAATACTATAACGATTCATACAATGATTCATATAATGATGATCCATACAATGATCGATATGATGATGATTGTTGGTGGACTTGAAATTTGGCTCAAAGCCATCACCATGAATCATGTTGTTTGCTAGACAACCAAGAATCAGACAAATCTTCATTCAACAAGAAGTTGGATCAAATGTTGGACATGCTGAATGAAACCTTATACAAGGAGGAAGAAAACTCCAAATCAATTTCTACGCTTGAAAGACAAATTGAACAAATAAGAAAGAAGCTAAATCAACAACTATCAGGCAATTTTTCAGATACTACACAAGATAATAAGGTAACAATATTATGTAGTGATAAATATTTTGATAACAGAGTGCATAATCCTACACCAACCGAACTTGAGGTTGTGGTGGAGGATTATGTGCCTTTATATGATAATAATACTGAAAGACTAATTGAAATAAAAGAAGTTGTAATCGAAAAGGAAAAGTATAATGAAGAGTTTCATGTGTCACAAGTGACTAAAGTTGGCGAGGGGTTTGTGGAGGCTAATACCACCTCTTACCCAAAAACTTTGAAAAAACTTGAACCAAAGCTTCTAGTAATGGATTCTAAAAAAGTGGCCAAATACAAACAAACAAATAAAATCGTTGATCATCCCTTTTTGGCAACCATCTATTCTCATATTAGTTGTCGGGAAGGTGCGATTGATATGATATTTGGAAACTATAAAGTGAGATTTCTTTTGTTTGGACCTACTAATGATCCTCCAATTAGTGGTGACATGTTTGTAATCAATACTATTGATGATTATGTTTATGAGTATACCCATAAAACATGAAGTAACATTAACCACTATTTTCAAAATTCATAACATTAACATTTTATTTAAAACATCATAGTGTCATCAAAACAAATGTTGGAGAGTGCATGCCGCGCCTTCAAGCCTTGCCCTTGCCCTTAGGCTCTGAAGTACCTGAAACAAATCAACAAACTGTAAGCTAATGCTTAGTGAGTTCCCCAGAGCACACCCCACACATAATCCACATAAACACATATCATATTACCTACAACAACTACATATACAACATAAGCCATGCATACAAACATATAAGGATGTCGTGGGCTCCTCCCAAGGTCTTACTCTAAGATGCCATGGGCTCCCCCACATGGTCTTACATCTAAGTGCCATGGGCTCCCCCATGGTCTTTAGCTGGAAAGCCATGGGCTCCCCCACATTATCTTACATCCAAGTACCATGGGATCCTCCCATGGTCTTTACTTGGAAAGCCATGGGATCCCCCACATTGTCTTACATTCAAGTGTCATGAGCTCCCCCCATGGTCTTCCCTGCAAGTATCACATACATAGCTAGCATAACACAAAGCATATCATACCACATATCTCTACAACAATGAGTGTACCACATATCACAAAATGGGTTGGCCTTGGTGCCTTAGTCCTATTAGTATGGTGAGGAGACTCACCTCTCGTGAATGCTGAACTGACAAGCTAAGATCAGATAAATCCCACATGCTGCTCCAACTCAACAGCCTATAATTATCATGTAACTGACTTGTCACAATCCCGAATTTCCATAATTATCCTCAAAGTCAACCCTATTCTTTGGTCAAAGTCAAGGTCAACAGTCAATGTTGACCTCAACTCGTCAAGTGCATCCACCAACTCGTCGAGTTACCGGAGTAACTCTTCAACTCGTCGAGTTACCTATGTAACTTATCGAGTTCCTCAATGTCCAGAAGACCGACAACCCACGCAGACCGAAAACCCCAATCCTTCACATAAATCACTCGAAATCTCAAAAACGGGTAAACCCTACTCGACTCGTCGAGTTGTCTAAGGGACTCGACGAGTTCCTTCAATCCTTTTTGTGTTCAGTCCTTTCTAGTGAGATCCAAGGTCTAAACTTCAGTCCTTTCTAGTGAGATCCAAGGTCCTAAACTTCATATCCAACTTCTCCCAGTGTAGTTACCACATAAAGTTGCAAACATTACGTGCATGCAAGGCCTCACAAGGCTAAAACACCAAAACTAAGGTCCCTACAAGGTCTTAATGCATGGAAAGGGCCTAAGCCGAATAAAGTGAGCAACTTTATGTCATTGAAGACCTAAAGGAGTCCAAATCTGGAACCATATCCTTGTGACAAGTCCAGATCCGAAGATGACACCCTTTTGGCACCAAAAGTGACCATTTACATCCAAGAAGAGATCTAAGCAACTAAAGGTCAATATAGTGACTTTATACCTCAATATGGTCACCAATATAGGGTGGATGTCTGATCTATTGCTTCCCTCTTTTCTCTTTCTTATTCAAGTTCCAAAATCTTCACAATCACACCAAAAATCACTCTTAAAAAGCTCTCTTTCTCTCTCAAGAAGGGGCAAGGCTCAAACTAGGGTTCTCTAGCATTAGGAACGATGGAAGAGGCTATAAATGAGCCATAATTTCTTTAAATAGGGTACAAACCCTTGAAAATTAGGGTTTCTTGTTACAGTGCCTACTCGTCGAGTCGGGGCCTTCCAACTCGTCGAGTAGGATCTGAATCTTGCGTCCTCATAAATGACTCTACTCGACGAGTTGGAGCTCCCCAACTCGCCGAGTCCAAGCATAAAACCCTAAAAATTTGACAAATTAAATGATACCTAGGATAGTTGTGCTTGTAGTTTTTTTTCTTATTGTTTTAAGTCTTTATCTTTTGATGCATCGGGGACGATGCAAGACTTAAACTTGGGGAGTGGTGTACATAAGAAGAAAACTAAGGATTGAAGAAAAAGTGAAAAAAAATCTAATTTTTCGGTTTCATTCGGGGATAACAAAGCATTATACAATTGCCTCCAATTAGTGAAGCTTTTGGAAATCAAAACCACGTCTACCATCGGTACTATCAGGTGTGTCGTCCTACTCATTTATGTTTTTTTGCCTTATTTTTGATAACATTTATGTGGATAATCAATTTGGAATGAATGTATTATACTTTAAACTCTCCCTTGATCATCTAATTCCATCGTGTTTGACTTCTATGAAATTTGTGGTTAGTTGGTAGCCTCACTATGTCTTGAATTTAACTTATCAAGATGGAAAATTATAGGAATTTCATACATCGAATCATAATATATAATTAATGTTGATTTTGTGGGTTGCAATGCCGGTTTGGAAAAAATTATATATATTTAAAAATTGTTATGTGAAATACCCAAGTTTGAAAAATAAAGGTTTTTGGCTCGAGCCTACGATCTTTCAATTGAGGACCCAACTGAACAATATGTGTCATCATGCTATGAGTACTTGGTCTTACTTATTCATGCGCCTTTGGGGTTAGGAGAGGACTATTATTGTTTTCACACAACCAAAAATCATTAGAAGACATTAAAGAATCTCTAAGTATCTATTTTTAGGTTCAAGTCAAATACAAAGATGATCAAATCCGAAGAAGAGATCAAAGAACTTGAAGAATGCACAATCAAGATAAATATGAAGAAAAGTTCAAGTGGAAGACAGTATGTGAAACAATATGTGACCCCTTGATAGCAGGAGTGTATGGGTTGGTCCAGTAAGTGTTACCGATCGTGCTAATTATGTTAGTAAACCTTGAAAACGAGACTTTGGCAATGAGTTCAACTGATTACTCACAAGGTTGATTATTGGAAAGGGTTCAAAAAGTGGAGGGTTTCAAACAATAAAGTAAAGTAAACATAACATGTATTTTGAGTTTAAAAGTCCGGATAAACAACTAATAATCCACAAAATCGATATATCATGCTTATTTAATATGTTTTGATAAGGTGTACAGAATTCGTGATTCTAATGTGTTTTTCTTAGGATAAGAGAGTAAGACGACGCTGATTATTTCAGGCTAATCTCGGGACGAGTTTTGAATAAAGTTGGGGAGGTTTAATCGCTCTATATTTATAGCACAAGAAATTGTGCTAAATGTGTTGAATTGACATATGATTGCCCAAGAATGGCACTACTTTGATGGAATGTTGAGTTGTATGTGCAAGTAATCATATATGACTAAAAGTGGGCGGAGCCTGCAAGGAAAACGAACAAAAGGAAGTTAACAAGCATAAGGGTCGAATTGCGCAAAGTTATGAAGAAAAATGGTGCTAGGAGATTTGACCGCCCGTCAATGTTTTTGTCATATCTCAAGATCTGGACCTCCGATTGACCTGATTGAAGAAGTTTTGGAAACTAGACAAAAATTCCTACAACTTTTATGTTTTACGTTTCTGTTAATTCTTCCGTTTTCATTGCCAAAAGGGCACCGAAGACGACGTACGCCCTCCATACATCAAGGATAACCCCTAGGATGCGATTTGTTTTACACACTTTTTCAGTGCAAATGAAGGATGATAGAAAGCATGTAAAACGTCACAAAGAATGCCTAGACGTCCTACAAAACGTCTAAGACACATACTAGGATGCTGATGCAGAAAATTGCTCTGACAATTCGTTTTTCAGCACCTATTTAAAGGGAACTAAACCCTAATCGTAAAAGAACTTCTACCCTGCGATTTTTCACAATTTTGGAGGGTTCCAAACACATTTAAACGTTCTCCAAACACATTTTGAAAATCAATTTTCGAATCTGAGGCTTCAAATCACCAAGTTCATCATCATTCAACAATTGAAGTCGTTCAACCGATGAATCTTCTTCAAGTTCCACATTTGGTTACTTCTTCCTCAAGGTTTCATCGTTTCATACCTGGTTGATCATTAGGCTTCATTAGTTTTATAATTTCAAGTTGTTTTATGAATTTTAGTATGAATTCTATTGTTTTTCTTCAAGTTGTTTGTTTTGTGAATTGTATGGAAAACTAAACCATTAGGGTTACTTCCGAGGATGTTTAGGACTTTTAAATGTTTTCTAGGTTGTTCGAGAGAAAAGTTCAGCATAATTGTACATATGCATCAAAGATAACCGTTTCCTCAGTTTTATAATTTAATTATGATAATATATGATTTCAATCAAACATATGTCACTCAGAGGTTTTTGAGATAAATGTTTTAAATGGTTAACCTATTTTATAAATCAAAATCTATCTTTTGATTTTTTGGAAAGCTACCAAAAAAAAAGCAACTTGTATTTCTAATTACAAGAGGTTTTCAATTATGTCAAATAAAAAACCTCTTATGCAAAACAACACCCTGAAGAAATTAAACAAATCACTCTTACCAACATAAAGTCATAATTACCCATTAAATTTTTGTTACGAATTCGTTTTAAATTAACTTTTTTTTTTTTTTTTTTTCCAAATTCATTTCTGTTATATTTAAAAAAAATTATAATAGTTTATAAGATTTTTTTTTAATTTCCTTTTTATTTTTTAAAAATCATTTAATAATATTTTCTGATTTTTTTTCCAACTTGGATTTGTATTCCAATCGATCTCTTTTGATAACCAGAAATAATGTCTAGAAAAATTCCCATCCCACTTGTCACGCTGACCTGCCTAATTACGTCCACGTTGGCACGCCCTTTCTAAAATACATACCATCTGGAGTTGGACCAGCCGCCATGCGTCATCTGGTGTCACGTGCCTTTTCTTAACCACCCAATCATAGAGCGTCTTCAGACAACTAATCTACATTAATTGAATTAATCCAGTTTTAAAATATAATTAAAAAGCTTGTAATTAAAAATTAAAAACAAAATTTTCTTGAATATATTATACTCGTTTTGACCGGTATATATATAGGTCACGACGGCCTCTGTTTTAGTCATTCCTCCACCACCACCGTTCATGGCTACTTTCACTCAATACGAATTCCAGACCTCAGACTACTCGCCGGAAACTTCATGTTCATGGGACGAACTTC